GTGACCATTAACTTTCACTTGTGCAGTACTCTTTGTACCAATTAGACCAGTGGTTCTTAACCTTGTTGGAGGTACCGAACCCCACCAGTTTCATATGCTCATTCACTGAACCCCTCTCTAGTGAAAAATAAAATATGATTTTTTTCAAATTCAAGACATAGATATGTTTTTTACTGGTGCACAAAATGAGCCGTGCATGTCACGGCGGAGGCTCTGCCAAACCCCTCAGACCGACTTACCGAACCCTTAGGGTTCGATCGAACCCAGGTTAAGAACCACTGAATTAGACCTTCAGGAAGGTTGAAGGAATCTGTTCTTGTGTGTGACTTTAGGCTGGCACGCTTTTTAGGTGGAGCTTTTTGTCTAACCTGGGTGGGACGGGTTAACAAAGCATCAGCCTCCATTTGTCCTGCAACAGAGGCAGACCTTAGTTTAAAGAAGGTTTTTTATTTTCAGGTTTCTTTGTTCGGACTGTCTTGAATGTTGCTTGTTTCTTTGGCTTCACGACAGCAGCTAATTGGCTTTTTAGATCAGCAACTTGTTTTTTCTGCTCTTTTAGACTATCTGACTCTGCTCGAGGAACATCTGGATCTGTTTCCTGTCTGTTCATGAGACACTGCTTTTGTTTTTGTGGCGCTAAAGTGCCTCCTCATTTGTGTGCTTTTAAGTTCTTGTTGGTTTTCTGCAGTACGCAGGAGAAGCAATAGCTCTCCATAAGTGGGTGGCTCCTTATGCTTTAGCTCCAACTGCAGTTCCGTTAGCAAGTTATCATCCCAGTAGCCTCTGTAAAACTGTTTAAGAAGCTGCTTATTTACTTCATGTAGTTCAAGACCACCTCTGCGCACGGTGTGATTGAGCGTCACCTGCAAACGAAGCAGATAAGCAGAGGGCTTTTCACCGTGGAGGACAGAGTTTGTAATTGCAGAGAAATAATCAATTAAATTTGGGCATTACATTTTCGAGCAGGAAGCTCAGAAACCCCTTTGGGGCTTAAGAGGTTAAGTTAATATTGTTTCTCTTTCTGTCTTAAACACACCTAAACACACTCACATTACGGTCCAACATCCATCTCGATATTCTGCTTTTAAGTGAGGTTTTTTTGCATCATGCAATAAATATTTGTATTTTCTGTATCACTATGAGCTTTGTCTGTTTCCTTTCTCTGTTGTGAAGATAACTGAGACTTGAGATCCGGCTGACCTTTCACTTTCATTTGTGAATGCTTTGTAAGGCAAACCTTGTTGTGTGACCTCAATTAATTTGAGATCACACAAAGTACTAAAGCTAACAGCTAATAAAATGAGTACACACTCAACCAACTAGTTTCATATATGCATACATTTCCATCTAAGTTCTTCTTTCATCAGTTGCTAAATGATACCGTGAACTATGAACAGCTGTTTAATAAATTTTTTGTAGATGACATAAAATTTCATAAAAATGCTATTATTAAACATGTACGAGCGTATTACGCCATAAAAATATCCGTGTTTATAAATTACGTACCAGCGAATTAAGTATTCATTAATGCTTTACTAAAGCTTTTAAGTGTATAGTTATTATAAAGTGTCACCATGAGGAGTAAATCATCCAAAATACACTTTGTCATTTTTACTGTTTTACTAAGCAAAGACGATTTTTATTTGATGTCTTTTTCTCCTTTTTCTGGGTTATTTACAGAAGCCAGGGATGGATGTAGCTGACAGTTATGTGACATTTGTCCGTCATTCCCAGGACATGCTGCGGGAGAAGGTCAATGAGGAGGTGTATGTAGAGCGAATATTTGATGTAAGTAAGCTACAGCATTGCCTCTTTTCTCCAAATCAAAGAGTAACACCAAAGTTTCATTTACTTCATTTGCGCTTAATAATATAAATATTAAAAACATTTAGTTTCACATCATTGCAAGTGAAAAGAGAAGAGTAAGTCTAGAAATGTTCGCAAATATTAAAGGTTTGCTTGGTTTTTTTAAAGTTTTTTTTAAATTAATGTATAGTTGGAGGTGAGTTAAACAAACCAAACACACAGCACTTTAAGCTACTGCAGTTCTTACATTCAGTGTAATAGAGATTCCAAATAACAAATATAGGCAACGAGATGTTTGTTATTTGTTACTGCTGGACAAGAACGAATGCCAATAACTGAAAGCAGATAACTCCAGGAGGATCCAAGGCCTGCACAAAAGTGTACAAAAAAATAGTTTGCTCTTTCTGCATGGGATATATACAGTGAGTGAGTTGATATATTTACAAAAAGTGCCATATAAAGATCATGTAACAGGCACAAAGCCTGACATGACTAAGGCCTCTTCGCAAGAAGTACTGCGAAGTAAGAAGACTGTAAGAAAGTGGAAAGGTCACAGTGTCTTATTAAAATAGTACACAGGATTTTTTTTTAATAAAAAGACAAAAAATAAGCAAACAAGCAAAACTGGCAGTTACTAATGTTTTGTAAACTCTGAAGAGCACACAGAGCTCAGGGCTTTTGTTAACAGGTGATACAAATTCCCATAGTCAACACTCAATTCAATTCAATTCAATTAAATTTTATTTATATAGCGCCAAATCACAACAAATGTCGCCTAAAGGCGCTTAAAACTCTACTCCATAGCTTAGAGTGCATTGACGTATATTTCAATTACTGCCTCACAGGAGAGGAGAGAAGCCAAATGCAAGACATTGACGTTGACACGCAGGTTTATGAATGTGATAACTCAGGGATGAGGCACTGTAGGAGTTTGAAATTGATACCTGAGTGCATCTATTAAAAATCTCAGAAGGTCTCATTGACCTCAACCGTAAGGTCAAAGGTCAATGAGATTCATGAGAGTCAAAGTTTTCTGAAAATCTTGTGAATGCGCTAATTTGAGAATGAGGGGAAGTAGGTTTTTGAATTGATGCCACAGGTGTTTCTATGGCAAGCCGAGTGGTAGCACTGGTTAACTTTCATGCATTACAGTTATATTAAAGTGCATTAAGACAAACCTTAAAAATTTACAGTACTGTTCAAGAGTCTTGAGCCATCTAACATCTATTTGTATTTTGATAGAAAAATGAAATATAGGTACAGTGATTTACTGAAATGTTCAAACATACGTTTGTAAAGGCAGAGTTTGTACTGTACTGTACTCTGTGAAAGTCGATCTTTGGTATGACCAAGTTTACTCTTCCATCTGAACTCTGTCCAAGCACACCTGTAATTTCTGTAACTACTCCTCAAGAAAGGTTCTTCATGCTTCGTGGAGGACATTTCAACATTGCTCTTAGATGTTTTTCATCAAGATGATCACACACGGCTTCAGTAATTGGTCCAAGCTCTTAGGAGGTGAATCCATGACAGATAATGTTCCATTATGTGTTTTTCTATCCAGGTATGCTTTCACTGCATTGATTTTGATTGTTATTGTTATTCTGAAAAATGAAGTTGTTACTATCCATCCATTCTCTTCCACTTATTCAATTCAAGGTTGCTGAGGAGCTGAAGCCTATCCCAACTACCATAAACAGGCCATAATATCACTATTAGACAGGTCAGGCTGTCCCAGGCTAACATAGAGAAAGAGACAACTTTTCACACTCGTGGGTAATTTAGAATCACTAATTAACCATCTTCAGTAACTGAATGTCTTTGGACTTTGGGAGGAAGCCGGAGAAAACCCACAAAAATGGGAGAACTTGCAAACTTTACACAGAAAGAGATTCGAGATTCAAACCCAGGCTCTTCTTGCCACAGTGCTAACCACCATGCCACCACACTGCCAGCTTATAGTTAGGACTGGATTAGGTGATCATGAATCCACCCTGTGTGTTTATACACCACTATGCCTTTCATTATGAGTTATTAATAATCTTTGGCTCTCTTCCACAGCATGTCTTTTGTCCTGTCTCCCTCCCCTCACCCAAACTGGTCAATGAGCTTTGTAATGCCGGAGGTTTCTTCCTGTTAAAAGGGAGTTTTTCCTTCCCACTTTCGCCAAAGTGCTTGTTCATAGAGGGTCATCTGATTGCTGGAGTAATTCTGTATTCTTTTGGGGTATTTACCTTACAATATAAAGCACCTTTATAGGGACTGTTGTTGTGATTTGGCGCTACATAGATAAAATTGAATTGAATTGTTAACCCCTTCAGACTTGTTGCTGATTTCAAGTCCAGTTCTTGTGTAGTCTGGCATGCTTCAGCCTTTTCTGATTTAAGCTTGGCTTCTGGACAGCCGTCCTTCCAATGAGACTAATGAGAAACAGGACATGGATTAGCTGATGGGTCATTCGCATCACTGTGTGAGGTCTGGATTTTTTCCCTGTATTTCCCCATTGTTAATTTGCTCTAAATAGTTTTTCACAGCTGTCTCTTCTTCTTTTGCTCTCAACTTGTTTAACTCCTGGGATGTTTCACTCGTGTTTGAAGTTTTCTGAAAAATGTGGCTAATCACAGTTAGATTTGAAGAGCTTTTCCCCTAATACACTTCTTTGTTTAGTGTCACAATTTGTTTGATGATTTGAAAACTGTGTGACAAATATCCCAAAAAGTTTCATAGCACTTTAGTCATATTTGATGACTTTTCTTGGCAGAGTTTAATTTAATGGCCTGGCTTCCTGTCTTATTAAACATACACTTCCTGTCACTGTGACCAAATAGTTCAATCTTTGTTCCATTTGACCACAATAGAAACGATTTCCTTCTGGGCAACTACACATTTCTGTTGAGTTTAAATGTATTGGTTTTGGAGCAGATTTTTTTTCGTTGCAACCCTTTCTGTCCCGTTCTTGCTTCACGATGGACAATGATACTGGTGTTCCAGTAGTTTCCAGTTCATGGCTGACCTGAGCCTTGGTAGTTCTTCCTGAACATCCTTAAACATGTTTTTATCATTTTCTTCTGATTTTGGCAAATAATGAACTTGTTTTTTGTTTATTGGTATTCATGCCAGCAAAGGGCAGCTACACGTTATAGTCAATCAGCACCATTAAGATCAATGTAATAGGCCTGGGTTTGCCAAGTTAAAATGCAATATAGAAAACTCAGCAATACCTATTAAATAATGTAAATGTTTTTGTGTATATTTGACCCTGTGTAGACCAGTAATTCAAACTTGTACTTTCACACTTGTACTTTTACTTTCACAGTACTTTACTAGTACTAGTAGTACTCCTAGTAGTTGTTAGGCTACATTCATAGACAGTGATGGGAATAACGGCGTTACAAGTAACGGTGTTATTAACGACATTACTTTTTTCAGTAACAAGTAATCTAACTAATTACTATTTCTATCGTTACAATGCGATTGCGTTACTATTTTCAACAGACGGTTGAAGCTGTGTTCAGCTTACCGCATCTTATATCAGCTGCAGGGAAGTAGCTGTAAGTAATCTGGGCGCTACAACTTTAAGCAGCTGTGCGCTCCCACGGACGGCAATCACTTTCTGCCAGATGATCACTTTTTGGCAAAACACCTGGAGCTCAGGGGGCAAAACAATCGCACGAGTGCTGCTGTTTGACTGAGGAAGAATAAAGTAGTCGTGGTAAGACAATCACATGACCACTTCAAGATGACAAAGCAACAAGGTGATATATACCAGTTTATAAACTGGGCCACGTAAAACCAGAGTCATGATCAACAATATATACGCGGCGTTTTTTCCTGAATAGTTTCATGTTTACTGTCTAAGCACAGCGCAGCGAGCACGCTGTGCTTATGACCAAGAAAACAAAACAAAACAACAAACAGCCCGTTTGGTGGAAAAATGCACCATGACGACCAATTAATAAACGATATGGCAACATAACATTTAGTTGTTTAGGAAGAGGGGGAAGATTTAGGAGTGACCGCGAGAGACAGAGAGAGAGAGAGAGAGCGTTTTGAGAGGTGAGAGATTTGTGACGTTTAGCGTGTTTGCAGTGTGTAGTTAATGTGTTGTCTTGTGTCGTTAGTGTGTAGTGTTGTGGATAGTTTTGTGTTGTGTGTCAGAACAATGAGCGACTGCTGTCTCCAGGTAGAAACAGGAGTGACACACCTGCTGCTGTCAGACCTGCAGGTATCAGGCTGTGATGTTCTCCTTTATAGTGGACAGAAATTATGTTTTTGGAGTGGCACAAATAACTTGTGGCATCTTTGTGTTGTCTCTGTCTTTGTTTATCTTTGTTTATCGTACAGTTAATATTGTATAGTTACCATTATGGTATTGTATAGAATTGTATAGTTAGTAATTAGTACCTTTTTATCCCTTAATGTTTACCACAACAGCATGTTATAAATGTTATTTATTTGTAATTCCTAGTTTTATATCTCTTGGAGATATAGCCTTTATATATTTATAAATGCACCTTGGGGGGCTTAGGACGAAAACAGCATTTCAGTACACTGTATACTGTGTATACTACTGTGTTGACAATAAAGCTCTTGAATCTTGAATGAATCTTATTGAATGCAGAAATACCCGATTTTTCTGTCAATAGTTTTAAATGGTTATTCAATTCAATTCAATTCAATTTTATTTATATAGCGCCAAATCACAACAAATGTCGCCTCAAGGTGCTTCATAGATACAGAGAAAAGCCCAACAATCATATGACCCCCTATGAGCA